GCCCCACGCCGGCCTGCGCGCGTCCATCCAGAGGGAGACCAAGGTCCTCAAAACGCTGTCGGTGATCGTGGGGGTCTTCGTGTGCTGCTGGCTGCCCTTCTTCATCCTGAACTGCGCGGTGCCCTTCTGCCGGGGGCGCCCGGGGGGCCCTCGGGCCGGCTTCCCCTGCGTCAGCGAGACCACCTTCGACGTCTTCGTCTGGCTCGGCTGGGCCAACTCCTCCCTCAACCCCATCATCTACGCCTTCAACACCGACTTCAGGAAGGTGTTCGCCCAGCTGCTGGGGTGCGGCCACCTCTGCTCCAGCACCCAGGTGGAGACCGTGGACATCAGCAACGAGCTCATCTCCTACAACCAGGACGCCCGGGTCTTCCCCAAGGCGAGGGTGGCTGCCTACAGCCACCTGATTCCCAACGCTGTGACCGCGGGGGACGGGGAGGACAGCGAGGAGGAGGGCCCTTTCCATCCCCCGTCCCAGATTTCTCAGGAGTCCCCAGATGGTGGCCCGGCTGCCTGGGAGCTGCACTGCGAGGCGGAGGTTTCATTAGGCAAAATAACACCTTTCACCCCAAATGGATTCCATTAAACTATGTAGGAAATGCCCTTCGTGGATCTAGAGACCCGCACAGACATGGAGAGGCGCGTGGAACACACACACGCGGGCACACGCGCTTCCAGTGTCGCTCGGTCTATCGTCTTTCCTCTGTCTCTGGTAGTAGCCTTTGTGCTTAGAAACCTCACTCGCTTGGTTTGTTGCTGAAAGAATCGGCAGAAGCAACTGGAACAGCCTCGGCCAAACATACCCCAGCCTGGCAGACGTGGACCGATGTGTCCTTTTAGAGGTGGTGTTTGGTCCTTGCAAAAACCAAAAAGGACTTTTCAGAACTTGGTCTGAAAACTATATACTCTCCCCTGCCCTTTGACCGAATGGGTGGTTCAGTGACTGGTGCTCGGGTGGCTTTTTAAATGACAGGTCCGGTGTGCGCGCAGTGCTGCTGGGCCTGCGGCTCTCCTGTACCTTGCGTCTGCTCTCAGTGTGTCTTCCCTGCAGCCGAGGAATTCTCCCTGACTTGTCCCGGTGCCTAATAAACATGAATTATGCGTGCGACGGGGTGGTTATCTTGCTTTGCCAGGCTGTTTTCAGGACGGCTCCTGGAGGAAGCGTCGCACCCTTTCCCTTTCAGAGCAGGGAGACTTCCTCTGCCCGGCCTGGGAGCTTCCTTTACAGGCCGCCTGGCCTCAGAGATGAGCTCAGGGCCCAGGGATCTGTTTGTTTGTTTGTTTGTTTCTGTTAATCTTCACCCAAGGATATTTTTTTCCATTGATTTTTAGAGCGAAAGAGAGGGAGGAAGAGAGAGAGAAACACCGATGTGAGAGAGACATCGATTGGCTGCCTCTCGCATGCACCCCAACCCAGCCCGGGGAACACACTTGCAACCCAGGTACGTGCCCTGGACTGGGAATCGAACCTGTGACCCTTCGGTGCGTGGGCTGATGCTCTACCACTGAGCCACACTGGCCAACGGATCTTGAAGAGCTCCCGATGCCTTAGATTTTTTTTTATTAGACACATACATCTTGAGTCCACGCTGAGAGCTAGCTCTGAGGCCAAGGCATCGACCATGAACGTCTCAAGCCTGGGATTCTAATTTTTCTTTTTCTGATTTGGAATCTTTTTAAAAAAATAACAGAACACAAACCAACTCTCTGATTCCTAGACGGTTTCTAGCAGTTCAGTGAGGAGATCATGTGGCATAACACCTAGATCTTTCTCCGCCTAGCTCGTCTTCAGCATTTCAGGGTCACGTGAAATGCTAGGTGAAGGCTTCTGATGAAGAGCATATTCTGAAGGACTTTGAAATGTGTGCGCTGATATGCTTTAAAAAACAAATCCCACTTTTAAGTAGGAGTTTTTATTTGTAGACAATAAGAAGTGAGGGGATGCATTTTAACTAAACTGTAGGAGCTGGAGATGAAATCGCAGCAAACTTGGACAATCTGTTGATTGAGGGGCTCCACAAAATGCCCAACGAGTTCCAGTCATCTCACGCCTCCTCTGCCGCCTGCAGAGCAAGGGGAGCGTCTTATTCCAGGGCCGTCCCTGCCCAGAGCCGCTCACTCCCCGCCGCTGGCTCCACGTGTGAGCGTTGCTACCTAACAAGAGAAATGCGAGCATGCAGCCCGCAGGGCCGGCGCCTGCTTTGAAGCAGGGTTATCAGGAACCCTTCAATCAGTCGGGCTCCCTTTAGGGGTATTTTATTGTCAGTCTCCTGAGCAGCCGTGGTCTTGCTCACTGAGAAATGTGCAGTGCCCGGCACGTAACGCTTAGATAAGTATTTGTTGAATGAATAACTGACTGTTCCCGGGATGGCGAGACTGAAAGCAAATCCTACTTGGTATGTTCGTTTTCATATATGATTTAGTCTAATCGATGCTGGAATCTGAGGGTTGTGTTCAGTTTTTGACCCCTTGTGAACTGACAGCGAAGTGAGCCATTAGGGAAACACTGGGGCGGAGAAAGGGGCCCTGCTGTGTGTTTCTGGAAGTGGCTGTGTGACCTTGCGGGAGCCGGTGAAGCGCTCTGGGCCCAGGTTCCGGCTGCACTTGTCAGTCGTGCTTCATGGTGCAGATGGAAACGGATGGAGTCTAGGGCGAAACACCAGGCACGGTGTCTGTTTTCTCCACAGGGCGTCTTGGAGATTTTTTTTAAGCATCGTGAAACCCCACGCAGGAGAGAGTTCTGCACTGTTTCCCAATGTCTTTGACCCGGTGGATCCTTGTGAAAAGTGAAATTCCTTATTGCCGGCTCTCAGGAGACCACAGCGTCAGGGAACACAGTTTGAGAAACTCCAGTTGATCTGGAAGTCTTGAAAATGCAGCTGTTCTAGACAGGTTGTTAGAAGCCAAACCTTCTGTGGCAAACATTGTTCTAGACCCCAGCTCAAGTAATTCCTGTGACAGGAAATATGGATTATGTGAGGACTTTGGAAACCCCTTCTGCGAAATATCAATCATTTGGATGATTTGCATCTACTATGTGCTGGGTGTTGTCCCAGGAAAGGAAAGAGAGCGAGTTCAGTGATGAAGCTGCTGTTTATCCAGGGCGGTCCAGGAAGGCTGCTTGGAAGAGGAGAGATGACGAGAGACCCAGAGGAAGAAGAAAGGGTTGGAGCAACGCTGACGTCCAGGAGGAAGAGGGCGCCAGGCAGAGGGAACGGCACCTGCTGAGGCCTGGGAATGGGACGGTGCTTGGCACCTGGGAGAAGAGAGGCGGCCCTGTGGCTGGGGGGCTAGGATCCAGGCGATCCCGGTGCGATCCCGGTCAGGGCACATGCCCGGGTTGCGGGCTCGATCCCCAGCAGGGGGCGTGCAGGAGGCGGCCCGTCAATGACTGAAATCAATAAAGTAATATTGTTTAAAAACACAAAAAACTATTCTGATGTAACTTCAGACTTACAGAAAAGTTGCAAAATATTACAAAAGGATTCCTAAATGCCCTTGATTCAGGTCTCCCAAACATTAATATTCGATTATGTTACTTGCTGTTCTCTCTCTGAGACACGATGCCCATTTACTCCCGAACACTTCATACTTCAGAGTATTTTTCCTACAAGCAAAGAATGTTCTTACCTAATCTACAGACTGTATTTGGATTTCATGATAATGTCCTTTAGAGCAAAGTAACCCAAGACCACGTGCTGCACTGAGCTGTTACATCTCTTTGGACCGTCTTGACTCTGAAACAGTGCCTGCCCGTCTTTCGTGACGTTGACTTTTGTGCAGAACACCCAGCCAGGCCCTTGGGGGGATGTCCCTGCATTTGGGTTTGTCTGGTGTTTCCTCCTGAGGAGATTCTGACGGCCCCCAGGGCAGGGACACCACTCAGCACCCACTGGGGCGCACGCAGCCAGGGAATTCACGGTCAGCGATGGTAACTTCGGTCTCGGGGTTACGGTGGCGTCCCCTAGAGAGTTGCACTGAGTAAGGGTGCTTTGGGGAGATACTGTGAAGCTACGAAAGTACCCTGTTCTTCAGACTTTCTCCCATTGGTTTTAACATCTGTTAATGACCCTTCCCTGAATCAGTTATTATCATGGTGGCCAAATGGTGTTTCTTAAAAATTCCACCGTCTTTTTATTGTTGGTTTTCTGCTGTAAGGAAGGGTGTTTCTTTCTTTCTTTTTCTAAACAGCAGAGTAGACTCTTGGCTTCCTAATTTTTCCAGTAGGTTGTAATCCTTTGCTCTCCATGTCTGTTACTATGTCTAAACGGTCCCAGACTTGGCCCGTGGGAGGCCTTGTAAGCCAGCTCCTGTGTCCTTTAGAGACGCTCCCATTATTCTCTGAGCATCTGGCTGTTTTTTGGCATAAGACACCCCAGGCTCACCTTGTATATTCCCTGCCTGAGCCCTGGAATCAGCCATTTCTCCGAGGAACAGCGGCTCCTCTCCGCAGAGGGTGGCGTGTAGGACTCTAGACCTGGGCACTGGGGTGCCATTGCTGCTGAGGTGACATCGCTCCTAGGCCCCCTCAGAGGACAGGGCTGGGATCTAGATCCATTCATGTGCGCGAATGCACGCGTCCGTAAGCACCCACGTATATTTCTGTGCCTAGCTGGGTACGGATATTAAGCCCCATGGGTTCATTCTGATACTTTATGGACATATTTTAAAATAATTACCCCGGTTCACATCCTGACTCCCTTCATTTCTTAGTTCACGAGATGGGGAAGTTAAAGAAATTAAGTTGCCTGCCAAGTTGTGTTTTTTTTCTCTCCCGTATTAAAATGGGAGTGACAACTCTCCTGTAGTTCGTCGGCAGGGTTGTGACATGGCACGTGGCGTGTGTAAGTAAGGTTATGCACACGCTGAGAATTCGAGTACCATCGGCTCTGTAATCGGGTCCCTCAAGACCTGGGAGCCCAGGGCAGACCTCTCTGTGTCCGGGCAGCGCAGGGGCCCAGATCCAGCACAGGGAGGGAATGAATCAATGGCAACCCAGACGTGGCCACACCTGGAACAGGAAGAAACGGGACGAGATGCCAGGCCTGATAAGGAGACCGACGGTTGAGAGCGGGGCGGGGTAAGAGGAGCATGTTCTTGTTTTCTTTTTAAAATTTATTGATTAGAGAGAAGGGAGAGAGAGAGACAGAGAGACAGAGGGAAATGCCAGTTTGTTGTTCCACCTACTTACACACTCTCGGGTTGATTCTTTTATGTGCCCCGACTGGGGATTGAACCCACAACCTTGGCATATCAGGACGACGCTCTAACCAGGGCCAAGGAGAATGTTCCTGTGGTCAGATGGAAAGCCCGGAGCTCTAGGCCAGCTTGAGAAGCACTTAACAGGAGCATGAGTGTCCCCACTCACAAGTTCGGACAGAGCTGGCACCCAGGTGACAGGAGGCTTTTAGGGAGGGGACAAGCGTGTTTTGCACGCAGGAGGTACGGGCACTGTTGGACCCCCAAGGACAGGCTTGAGGCGGCCTCTGTGATGGCCCCCGGTGACCGCCGCCTCCTGGCTTCTCCCATGTCATTGCCTCCACTTGTGTGCTGAACCTGATGGTTGGCTTCTCATGAACCAAATAT